AGATGACATACCTTCAAAACATTTGGATGTACAGTAATTGATCTGGTCCTGGAGCCTGAAAGTAGCCAGTTGTTCCTAATTACACTTTAGTTACCTTGGATCACCACTCCTTCCTTGTATCAGATGTTCTGCTTAACTTCATTTAAATGTAGTTCCCCTTTGGGGAGAAGACCAAAGGAGTTGAGAAGCTCTGCCCCATCTCTATCATTTGTTATAATTCTACCATCATCTCAAGCAGCAGGTCCATCCCCTCCTTTTTTCCCCCCTCAACTGACATATCCAAAAAAGCTTTTTTTTTTTTTTTGCATTTAGCTTCCCTTGCAACCCTAACTTCCTTCTGTGTTTTAACCTTTCTGATATTATGCAGGTATTAGTTACTACTTGCTGGTATGCCTCCTTGGTAATTACATCCATCTTCCATTTCCTGTACATGTCCTTTTGAACTCGTAGCTCAGCTGAAAGCTCACTATGTATCCACAATGCTTTTCTACACCCATTTTTTTCCTCTCCTTGGAACCGTGCGTGATTGTGCTTCCGTAAGAGCCAGGCGGACAGATTCGCCTGAGCCCCTTCACCTTTTCTCCCAGGAGGGCAGTGGCCCTCCACTTGCAACATGTGTAATTCTTGTCATCTTTAAGAAGAAAAATAAAGTCAACACACCTCTGCAGTTCGAGTGCATTTTTTTCTATCTCCATGGCCTCGCTGAACAGAAGAGGAACTCCCTCCATTCACTTTTGTGAAATCTCTCACATTTTTATAAAACACCCACAGAAAATACTGATTGGTATCCCAGATTGTTGGCTTTCTAGAGAAAATGACAGTTATGGGTTTTTTTTAGGTGCCTCCCCTTTTACCTTCCTTGCCAAATTCCCCCACAAAACTCCTATTTGCTCTTCTTCTTTGGTTGCTCAAATTATAGCTTTATTCTGAAATAAGTAGTATTTTACAGTTCAGGTACTCAAATATTTTGAGGATGTTTCTTCTTTATGACCAAAGTATGTTTAATTATAGATACATTATTAAATATCTCTTTTATACATGCACAAGCATATACATGCTTTATGCATTGAATTTTGAAATATGATCTATAGCATATTAATGTTGAATATT